AAGTTTATTGAAGGTTGAGTACGTTCCCAATTTTCTTTGCGAGATTTGAAATACCCTGTAGCACTATTCTTATTTTTTTTCACTTTGTATAGTACCATAAAAGTAAACGCGATTGTAAATATGTAAGTAATTGGATACATAATTTTTGCAAATATATGCATAATTAAGAAATAAGCATAAACTTCTTTAAAAAATAGTAGACAAATTAATCGATTTGATGCCTGGCCTCAGTTATCAATGCTAGAAGGGCATCGAGTTTTAGGTCTTTAAAATTTTCAAAATGGTCCATTAGCGGTTGAATCGCATCTGACTCAATGGCTGCGGAGATAGTCTGATTCTGTATGGTTCGGGTGAGGCAAGACGCTACCTGCGCAAGAAACTTGCGCCATTCCTGCCTATTTGCGTCGCTAAGCGTTGGGTCAATTTTGGACACGTATATTTCTTGGGCACGAAGTATCAAGGCAACAAGCGATAAGATCCCAAACTGAAAATTAAATTTTGTACATTTTTTACTCGTGTGTCGCGGGTTTGACAATATTGTAAACTTACGCGACTGCAGAAAATTCCCGTTAGCTTATTGTCGTTCAGCGTGATTGCCGCTGAAATGGTGACGACTGTTTCAAAGCTGGCTTTGCTGATGTGCTTTTTGAATTCTGGGTACAAAGCATAGAGAACGCCCTCAGGATCGTCTTTGTCCTTCTTAACAACAGTCTGTAGCGAGCAGAAGACTCCACTCCACACTGTCCAGCATACACTATGCTCAGTAAGAAACGGCATAACGCGACGTAAAAGTATCTGCATCATATAAATGACGATAACTAAAATATTGGATACATCGTATTACGTATTGAGATATATGTAACTTACCTTGCCTTTGCGCACATTCATCATAGCTACGACCTTGTCAAAAGCCAAACCTGACTTTAGTTTATTTACCAGGGCATCAGTCGTCTCTATTTCGTAGTTGAATTTATTATTCAGCTGTGGATTGATACTTTGTGGATTAGATGCTTCGGCGGCTCGCTCCTCAGGTGTTTTGTTTGCCATCTCAAGCTGCTCTAGAGCTGCAATTCGTTCGGCCTCCTTCTTTTTCTTTAGAACAATCGTGGCCATAACGTCTGTATTTTCCAGGTCCTCTAGTTTCAGTAGATAGCGATACAGCGTTTCTATCAGCAATAAAATGTGACGTGATTTGCGCATACTACTGGGTGTGATATCACAACAAGCACTTGGTAGAAGTGGTGTCCCGGCGTTAGACTTTGCATTTACCCCGCTCATTGTGCTCATTGATGAAGTGGCCGAGCTTCCTGCTATATCCCCGAGGCTAGCCTCACCGCCCATGATGTCAGCGTCAATAATTTTACGTGGAGCTGTCACACTGCCATATTGCAATTTACCAAGCGAATTCTCGAACTTCAGAGGCGAGAAAATGTATCCCGGTAAAGTGTTGTTGGTCCCTCCACTTCCACTTACTGCATTATTTGTGCTGACACCCGTGCTGCAAGTGTTCGTGTTTTCCGAGTTCCGCCGCTCGCGGTTCTGTCCATGTCCGTTGCGTGTGCCGTTTTTGTTGCCCAACTGAACGAGTATAAGTTGTGCATGGCCTCTGGGTTGCGTTAAAGGATGGTTCAACTGGTTGTCTTTGTGGGCCTGACTGTGTCGCACCTGACCATTCTGCAGGGCCTTGCGCTCTCTATAGACCGTGTAGTAGTAGTCATCAATGTAGGGGGTGTCTGTATTCAGCTGTGATAACTGTATACCGATCAACCAGTGCTTGTCCCGTGTGCTCATTAGATTTGCATATTCGTCGTATTCATCCTGCGGAAGGTTCCCAGATGCGTCTGGACGTCTATTTAGCTGTTGCTGCTGTAGTTGTTGCTTTTGACGCTGATCGCTAGGGACAGATCCGCCCCGACTTTGCTGGAGCTGGCGCGCAACGACCGCATTTTGCTGAAGAAGCGGATGGTTTTGTTGGATCTCCTGCACGAGGCGCATGTTGAACATATTGAACATTGAGTTTTGCTGCTGGTTGAGCAAATTGTTGGCTGCCTGCAAAGGATGTGGGGGCATTCGTGACTGTGGGTGTTGGAGTGGATGCGCAGGCTGCATAAAGGCCGCCGGATGCAAGCCAGCAGCTCGCATTGCATTGAAACTTGGATGCATTGCAAAGTTGTTTAGGGCTGTGGGCAGATGTGGGGTTGGCAGTGGACGCTGATTGCCGGCTAGAGGAAAGTTTGGGGGCAAGGCACAGGCACCGTGTTGTTGGAGCAGTGGATACTGTTGCAATTGGGGCATACTTCCTGGCAAACCTGGTGGGTAGATGAACCCAGGCGGCACCCGATTTCCTGCCAAACCATTCAGTTGTTGTTGCGATTGGGGATTTGGCAACATCTCGGGTAACGGATGGGGGCCATGGAATCCCAAATTTGTCCTTGGTGGCGAGATTTGCGGCGCTGTCAAGAATCCAGGGGGCACTGCAATTAATTTCGTTATAGCATGTGCTGGTGTGTGCAAATGATTTTGTATATGCTCACCTTTGTTTTGTGGTTTAGGTTGCTGCTGCTGTTGCTGTTGCAGCGGTATTGTTGATGGTAGCACATGCTGCCGGTTAGCCAGGCTAAATTCATCAAACGCTTTCCGATCTTTTGGTTGCTGTTGCTGTTGCAGCTTCGGTATTGCTTGCTGAATGATTAAATTGCGTTCAATATCCTCAAGGGTCGAGATTTTAGGACCAGCTTGAGGATGCATATGATGTAATGCTAAATTTGCATTGGCCTCTTGCTGGATTTTCATCTGCGTTTGCGGCCTAAACGCACTGCGAAAGCCTTCCTGAAATAACGGTTGGTTATTCGGAAACGGCGGCGACGCCCATACAGCAGAGTCCAAGTTAATGCGATTGCTAAGGTTTCCCACTTCGCTATCGAGAAAAGAGGAAATGTCGACATCATCTAACTTCATGGAAGACAGATTCAGCTCCAAGTCTGCGTCTTCCATATTTCGTGTGCCAGGAAAAGGTGCGTTGAATGGCGCAGGTGTTGAGCCACTCGACGAGGGAGCTGATGAAAGCACATTCGTTTGTCTGGGCACGCCGTTGCCACCGGCTGAAAATCCCCCGAATGCACTTCTATCAGCGAAACCACCTCTCTTGCGAACTTTGTCGCCATTTCCGCCAAGGCGCACCAGCGTTTCATGAGCTTCTTCCCAATCTCCATTTATTGCAGACCCAAAGGTTTCATCGTTGAGCGCATCATATTCTTCTTCTCCAATGCGCCCATCGCCACCTTCGTCCTCCTGTGTGTACAATTAAATAAATACATGCATTTATTGTGGGCAGGCATAGACACAATCATCAAATCAATCCATCGGCCTGCATGGCATGGCATTTATGCTGTTGTTGTACAATATAAACACGTCCATTTTATACATTTGGCCGATAGCCTCTCTACGTTAAAATATGTGTAAGGGCGATGTATATTCACACGACGATGCCCTTTAGGACATTTGAGCAAAATAATAATAGCTCCTTTCTTTTTCTATTGAAACATAATTAATATTAACAGTTAAGGCCAATGCTCACCGGTATAGTTGTGTCGAATCCGAAAAACGAGTTATCCATTGCGAAAAAAAACTACTATTTTGTAAAAAATTATCATGACTTGTCAGTGAAGCAGTGTGATAGCGGACTCATCAATACAGTATACGGTCTGACCCTCAGAAATATACCGTAAATATACTGACAAATTACTTGTATTCAAGTTTCATTTGATTTTCGGTTGAATATTCCGAGCTAGCCAGGACCTTCAACTCTGAACTCATAAGTTCACCCGATTGACAACTCCATTTCCTACAAGACTGGTCAACTTTAGGTTATCATCTTTATTCGATTTATTATAAAATAAGGTTTAAGCAAAAACGATCAACAATTTACATCACATTAATTTATTTACGTAGTAACTGCAAGCTAACTACTCGTTTGCTACATATAAACAACATTTTTATGAAATTAACATGTCGACGTTTTTTTTTAAATTGGTTTGTGTAAGCCCCATGAAAGCGCCAGTGTGAAATGCCTCCATTATCCACAAATTGGTCATGCTATTTTTTTCGACATTTTTAAAAAAATTGGCATTCTAATGACAAACGATCAGGAATGCGCTGCTGATCACGAATTTGTATTCGACGTGGCCTGGGACACGGCATTTCTACACGATTCCACTTTGGTGCATTGGAAAAGAGGGTGAGTCTTAAAAGATACTGGAAAATTCTTTAAAAATACTAGAAAATACTATGAAAAGTATACAATTTTGAAAGGTGTGTGCATGGGCAGAGTGACCAAAGGCGCGCCACAAGACAGTGTAAAAAAATACTTTTCTTGAAATTTGGCATTATGTGATGCTTAAAATATTGACGATAAAAAAAAATAGTTGACAAGACTAGTAATTAAATAATTATATTATTGAGAGGAGTGCTTAAAAAACTTAACTTATTTCGCCCAGAACTCTGATAGACTCAGAAAAATACCAACAATATATAAAAAATATCTGGAATCAGTTGCTGAAATTAAGGCGCTAGGAAAAGTTAAGGTCAAGACAGAATAAAAAGCTTTTTTATTTATCAATAAGTCGGTATCTGGTTTTTGCTTCATTTAATTGGAAGCCAGGAGAATTATATTGCAAAAATAGAAACACGGAAGTGCTATCAACATTACTTTTTAATTATTTCAAATTTCCATGCAGTATATACATATGTCCTACTGTTCGCCTGGCTAGGCGACGCGAAAAAATATGGTCGACTTTTTTCTACCACCATATTTAATACATTTTTCTAGTCGGCAGCTTTCCCGGTATTATTATACTAAATAATTAATAATTTAATAAATGCAATTGCAAATTATTTTGTGGAGTACCCTTAAGAAATGAAGCAGTTCCGACTCTTTGAACCAGCTGCTGGAACAAACGCATACAAACTGGTTCTTTTTTGCTTCAGAAAGACGCAACGCCAAGAATAATTTGATTAATTTAACAATGAAACGGAAAACAAGCGAGATTTGGTGCTTTTTCCGAGCGGTGGACGACACATTTGCCCTTTGCAACATCTGCAAAGCCAAGCTCTCTTACAAAACAACCACCACCAATTTAAGCAAACATATGAATAGAATGCATCCGACATCATCGCTGTCCCAAAGTCATAAATATAAATATAAATATCAATCACAGTCAAGTGTTGTTGATCGGAATAAGGGAAAGCCACGAAACCCCGCTCAGGAAGTAGTCTTGCTAGACTTTGTGAAGAAGCATCCTCGATTGCTACAACTCCCTTCTTGGGAAACACGTAATGCCGCAGAATCTTTATGGGAACAACTGGCATTAGAGTTGAACAGAAATGGCCCACCACGAAAAGATGTGGCTACATGGAAGAAGGTAAGCGTTTAATTGTTTGAATGCCAAGTTATGAATAGCTTTTTTATATTCTAGGCGTTGAAAGACTGGAAAAGGTTCATTCTTAAGAAAGTGGAGAAAAACGAATTGCTTAATCTGCCTTTTGAAACGAGCCTCAGTTCTTCTGAGGAAACTATAGCAACGCTATGTCGTATACACGATGATGTTAGTCAATTGATTTTGAAAGTACCAGACGATGATGACATGCATGATAACTCAAATACCGAATATGATGTGGAAGATGTGGTGCCAGAGGAGGATCCCAGCGCCTTGCACAGTGCATCCGAATACATCTATGAGCCAGAGGATTGCAAGATCGATATAGACCCGCTTTACCTGCAAGCAGGCAAAAAAGCAACAGTGACAGGAAGAACAACCGAAGAGCACAGCTTGCTGGAAAAATTAAGCAGCAGCATTGGTTTGGTCAACGACGCCACCAACAGTGTCCATCTGGCGCTCAGTGAGTTTTGCGGTATGTTAAAGGAAAAATTGTTAGAAGATAAACGTCACCACTTAGCGATGGAACAGTTGACGGCGGAAAAAATTGAGTTAAAAAAAAAGCTTCTAGAAATTGAGCAGAAGAAACTTTCACTAAAATGACTGGACTTGTAATAAATTGATAGTATACTAAAGAAATAGATTGTATAAAACTGTTAAGTGATTTTGAATTAAGACCCCATTTAAATGAAATTTAATGTTGTTTCTCATAGCGTATAGCAGAACATTTTTTTAAGAGATCACAACTGGTGTCTGAAGCACTTATTAGAAGCTGAGCATGGCTATTCATCCATATTCAGATTATATGGTTATTATGGTTGGTCAATACAATTAATGGATGATATAATGACACCCAATACATACAACATATATAATTTTGAGACTTGGAGTAACAAGATCAATTCCGAGACCTTATATTTATTGACGAGACGTATGATTGATTTTCAGTTCTTCATATGATCCCTTAAATTCCTGTGGGTAAATTTCGTCGCTCATAATACCGTCATAGTCATATTTAATATCCTGTTGGAGTACAATATTAAAGCCAAATATAAAAATTCAACGATTATTCCTTACGTCCTGAAGTTCGCCCGAAGCATCCGACTCGTCCTCAGAGTGGTTATTAGGACCATCTAAGTCACCACAAGCGATAAATGGCACAAGGCGCCGGTTCACATCGGACCCTGTTTTTTGTGCAAGCACGCGTATATCATCTCGTGCCGTGTTAATGACTTGTGGAATATAGCCAGGAGGCAAACAGAAATCAGAACAAACCACAAACGATTCAATGCTCGATGAACGCGAACTTGGAGGCTTGTAGATATCAAACTTATTAAAAAATATTTTCATCTGTGTGCTAAGCAGACCGGTGGCATTGCCTTGAAATATTTTAGCCACGAATGACCCCCCGGATTCAAGTACCACAGTGGCGATACTTAGTGCAGATACCAGAAGTTGGTGTTGCATGTACTCGTCCATTTCATGCACACCTGTAACGTCCGGAGCGCCGTCACAAACGACGAGCTGCGCCTTTTCTTCGCCATCAGCACTAAAATGACTTATTATAGCTTCGGCTGTGCTCTCTTTTGTAATGTCCCCTTGCAATTGGAGAACACCTCGTATAGGTGCCATGGCCTGTAAATCCACTGCAATGATTTTGGTTGCCGACTTTTCTGCATCGTTTTGGCACGTATCGTACAGCTTGCGAGATAGTACCTGCGACCAGCTTCCAGGAGCTGCACACAAATCGACAGCGCGACGCACACCTGAATAAATATAGGGCTATCAGTGAATCTGCTTTTATGAAGATAGCTTAAACAGCAATGAGATACCATTTAGTATTCCATAGGCGTCATGAATGTGCAACAGTTTAAAAGCACTTCGTGCACGCCAGCCCTCTTCCTTTGCTTGACGGTAATAAATATCCCGTTTATCTTTTGATGTTTTACCCATGTTAATTTAACGTGTGACAGCGTAATTAATTAATTTTTTTACTTTAATCAATCCATGCTATCCGTGAGTAGCGTGGGATTAATTGCCCGTCCTTTTAAAGGTGGAAATTGCCAAGTCAAAGAATAGAAAATGTTCGAGTACTGTTTATAGTTTTACATCAATTTCGTCGAAGAAGTCTATTAGTGTTTGGTGCTGATGTTTTCTTTTTCAAAGAATTTGTAATTATCATTATACTTTCTTAGAGATGGAATGAAAATTATACACGAGGCGTTATCGATACTATCGCATGTATCGCATATGTTACTAGGAACTACATGCATTTTGGCGAGTGTGTGCCTATCAAATGCGTTACCACTAAGCAGTCTGTTGATTCTTTTAGCGTCAATGGCTTTAAGCTTAGTTTTATTTAGGAATCACGGTTTTTTTTCAGCAGCTTCAACGTTTTTAAATTTGTCACCGTTTTTGTTCATATAAGCCCAATGCCAGCGCCTGTGTAAAAAACCTCCGTTATCCCTATGATATATCCATATATGATCTCTTTGTGAAGAATTGTAAATGCCGGGCTCCAACCGCAGCAGCTCGAACCCCAGGGTCTCCAACCAGCAGTGTTCCCCCAAGTTACACAACACAATCAAAGTCAGCGAGATGAAATAACCAATAAGCTGAAGTGGGAAGAGAAGATGCCGCCATCGTCACCATCGAAGAAAACAAATACCTCTGAAAGCAAGCAAGTCGATTATGGAGGAAGATGAGGGCTTGATTCTAGTCATTCAACATAATTTAGTTCCATAGTTTGAAAGATCACTTTAAAAAAATAGCCCAATGAAGAACAAAATTTAATTGCAATCTTCGTCCGCCGAAATTTAATTGTTGTTCTCACCACCAACGATAAGCCATCGGCATTATAAGTAAGGCAATTAAGCCACTTAGCTTTGAATCTGTTGCAGCTTCCCAACGTGCTATGACGCCAGCCCCGACCTCTTCTAGTCTGCCCCATGATGGAACAGAGCAGCGCTCTATCTCTATTTATTTATATTTCTAGCGAAAAAGTTTCGCTAAATTGGACAACTGTTCTTTTACCCGTCGTCTCTACTTCTACTTTTAGCCAACGATAAAATCGTGTTCAAAAGTTCAATTCTAAGATCTGTTTTAATCTTGACCATTATATGCGCCTCTTCACCCGTAGCCGTTCGCAGACATCAACATTCAGAGTGTGTCTTCTCGGATAGCTCGGTTCCATCCATGACGCCTCTTATAGTAAGGTTCTTCGAGTTTCGCCTCAACTGGTAAACGAGAATTGGGCAGTTCGTAGTATGAGTCAGTCCTTGCCCCTCTGGACGGCTCGTTTTAGTTTAACAAATTTGTCTCGGGTATCTCTAGTCCCAACTCTTTGATATGCCCTTGTTCCTATGATGATTTCCGCTCCATGGACATGGATGAGATGGATATTTTTGACCCGTTCGGCTGCTGATGCAAAAGCATCTTCCGTTGAATACTCCTTGCTCTTGGGTTCTTGTCATTCGATAACCACTATCACTAACCATACAGTATATATGTAGATGTGCCAGTTCATACAACGAAAGTGTCACACACCGGCTTGCGCTATCCGTACCCCAGAGTGACGTCATCATGAGAGAGAGAGCGCAGAGAGAACATCTTTGCATGGGTTAGTACACACGCAATATGTTTCGACAAAAATATGTGATTGTATGTTTTTTCAGATTTTTTAAACTCTCTCAGGTCTGATCTGTTTTGCCACCAGCATGTTTTAGTGTATGGGTGCACATGCATTCTCACGTACTTTGCGTGTGTGTGTTTACTATTGCTGGCCGCTAGAACTGAAATTTGAGTTTGGTTCTTGTTTCGGGTCTTTTGATGGACTGACCTACCGCCACAAAATAAATGAAGAATGGGCAGGGGGTGGGGGTATGGTACACTAGGGCGCGGGAAACAAAATAAAAGCTGTTATTTGTTTGATTTATACCACAAAATATACTGTATGGTTAGTGCCACTATTCACCTAAGTTTGTACAGTATGCACTTTTGTTAGATGGCATATCAATAGCGATGTTTCACAGGTCAATGTTTGACGCTTCCTCGTACGTTTTTCTCTGCATCAGAACCGTTGCGCGGACATTACCTAAGTCATTGATACCGTATGATACCTATATAACCTTTAACGTTTATTTATTAACCACCCAGCATTGTTTACCGAGTGAATTTTACAGTTGTAGGACAGCAGATTTCAAGCCATATTTATTTATGCAAGTCGTTACGTCGTTACTTTTTTCATAACTCCATTGCTTCTACCGATTCAATACCCGACTCAAAAATAGAGCGAATCGGAGTATTGGTCGGATAATAAACAGCAGCTAAAAATTTTTTTTCTCCGCATACGAATATTATTTATGCTTTGACCGGTGAAAATTGTCGTCGATCTGAGTTCTAGGCTTAGTTATTGAATTTCAAATTTGGTTGCGCTCCTCATCATCAAACACATAAATCATCTATTTCAATATAATTCTCAATAACCTGAGTCTGCCAGTGTAAACGCATATTTTGCGTCAATGTGCTATTCCGATATCATTATGCAAACGCGCCAGTGTAAAAAGGCATATGTAGGTATCGGATTATTATCCGTTATTCGATTGTTCGTTTGTTCATGAACAGCCGAGCATTGTTTGCCGCGTGAATTTTAAAGTTGTAGGGCAGCAGATTTAAAGACATATTTATTTAAGCAATGCATAAATTTAATTTATACCAAGTAAAAGAGACTTGTTTTGAAGACTCTGAATATGTTACAATGTCGAAAGTGATTTGTCCTCGGAACTTGATGTAAGAACATACTTATAATTACTATTTACTAAGATGTACATATGTTAATATAAATGGGAAAGTAACGGCCATCCTGTTCTGAATGGCGCTTTGTGCAGATTTACAAGTCTGTTGATCTACTGGAAGTACCGAATTTTCAATTTGGCGTCGTCAAGAAGCATGGCCTTAGTGTGGTGTGTGTGTGACTGCTATTACACCTAATTTCGTACAGATACAGTATGTATATATGTATGTATCTATCAACCAAGCAGATCCGTATGTATTCCATGTTTATGTATGTAGATATGTATGAATTATGAAAATACATAAATGCATATTAAAATATATTAATTAATATAGGTACACATCGTGATAATATAACGGAAAGTTGAAGTAAGGAACTTCAAATGCAGACTTTATAATTAGATAGTAAGATAATAAATAGCAAAATATATAAACATAATATTAAAATGTTATATACCACCACTGATGATGATCAATAATACGTGTATATATACATACATATGTATGTATACTTGATGGGGTCGGAAACACTCCTATTGGCTTTTAACGGGTGTTAAAACACATTTCCAACATATGTATGTATCTTTCAGAGAATCCGAAATTTTCATACAACTTTTGAAAATAGAGACAGATGAGTACTTTTCGAAGTTATCCGAGACGTCTTCAAATTTGTTAAGCAGCGCCGTCTGTTGTATGAAATCGAATAACACTGAAATATCCAAAAAGGTAATCACGAGATTGAGTCTAGCAATGGTATACCCAGGGGTGGAAAAAGGGGGGGATTTTTCATATGCATATTTTTAAAAAAATTGTTTTTGCGTAATTTCTTTGATATAATTTTTCGAATCAATCCTAAATATATATAACATCATATTACGCTTAAAAATAAGGCATGGTAATAAATTCGCCCCCCTTCGCGAAATCCTTGGAGTCGAGATTTCATATATTTAAACAAATTTAACAAATTTCGATTTAGGGTTTCCAGCGCCTTAACAAAATTATATTCCGCTCGCCTTGCTACAACAGTGCTTTTTTAGATGCTGTTTTGGAACGTAGTTTGTATTCTATTCGAAACCAACACTATTCTGTAAGTATCTTGGTATCTCACTTGATAACTATCCGTATCTGTAAGTCAAGCCATCATATTTAACACAATAGTCGTATGCTTGCAGAAGTTACATAACTTTTTAGCAGATAAAAGCAAAACTAAAGTATTTTTGATCTCATAACGCAACAATAAAATCAACAGTTTTAGCCCGATTCGACATCGTTTAGAGGTGCCGACTTGAGGTCAAAGTTGAAAAATACGATATTTGGCAAATGGTTCCTATGACAGCTATACTATATATCGCTCTGATCGGATTGCATTTTTGAAACTCATCTTTTTTATCAGTATTTCGTTATAGTTTTGAATAAGTGTAACAGCACGTTCGGCTCTATCATTAAACACTCTTAAATGTTAGCTAACAATAAATATTAAATAATAAACCGATCAAAAAATGTATCAGAACTAGTCACAAAATCAGATAGTATCTTTGTAATCTCTTTGTAAACGTTGGCAAATCTTTTTCTTTCAAAATTAGGAGTTTCGCAGAAGTTTCGACATTTTGCACATTAGTCTAAAAAACTGAATGTTAACTATTTATTGTTGTCTTAAATATGAACAAATCGAGCTGAACTTTTAATGATCATAATTTCTGTTTTTCTTTTCTTAGTTTGCTTGCAAAGACCTTTTATATTATGAGTCCCTGGATTCTAGACTGAAGACTACTAAAGGAACTGTCCTTTCTCAATCGCTGTTGTGCTTGGCTTTGTTTATGACACGGGATAACAAAGCGGCAAAGCAGAAATTAAAGAATTTAAAGGATATGATTGGTATAAACAAAAATATATATAATTTGTTTCGATGTATGAAGCGTGTAGACCACGGGTTTGTAAGCAGTCCATCAACAATAAGCATCACTTCTCAGCGAGACTCGAGTCGAGCAGCGTTGTTATTGGATTCTCGCTCTCGAGTCTCGTTCGCGTCCAGCCTTTTTTTCAGTTGTCTGCTTGTGCCAAAAAATGTTAAATTCTTGCTCGATTTAATATTTCCCTATCTGATTGCCAAACTTATAGACCTATCATTGACTATGGTGTTCTTAATTTTCTAAATATTTATGTATATATCATTTTGTTTTTTATTCAGATCGCTTGCCCTCTACAGATAAAACCAGTGGTAAGTGGAATACCAGAGTAAATGTTTCAGATCACCGATTAAAAGCTTACATTTTTAAATTTGTTTATGTTTTTCTTTGATACTGTTGGCGAAGGCAGTTGGAGAGGTAGAACGGTATAAATTAGAAAAGTCTGAGAACTAAGTCACGAGATGCACGAAACCAAAAAGGTCTATTTACTAGTAATCTAAGCAACACTCAAACCTCTTAGATATAATATTGAATATTTCTTCTAAACTTATAAACAAAAAAATAAAATAAATAACGATAGTGGGTAACAGAGATTGCTACAATAACTTCAATTTTCCAAAAGACGGGCGGATAGTCTGGGAGCGGGACGCCCTATTGAATGTGCACAATGAATTATTGAAAGTCGGTTTTAATGTTTTAAAGACCATGAGTTATTAGATGAGTTAACTTACGGCCAATAGCTTTTTGACATTAATATTGAAAATTTGAATGGAAATCTGCAAGAGTATATTTCACTACAGCTACCGAAATGCATAATTTGTTATATTTGTTTTTCTAAATATTTGAATATATCTTTGTTATAGAAATTTCATCTTTTTGGTCGCTTTTACAAAAGTACGAGAAAGAAATAAACCAAGAAACTCGAAATGTCCAATATACCAGGAAACCAATGATCAAGTCATTTGTGCCTTTCAATGGATTTGGTGGTAGCAAGAAAATACCATTTGCTAGCAGCGCATGTGAATATAAGTAAGTGAAAGCATGGTTTGAACAGATTTAATAACAATTACCAATTCCATATTTGTATAGACGAACGATGAACGGCCCTGCTGGGGTATTCGCAAGGGTCAACATCCCCAAAGGAAAAATTATTCTGGTGGATACCCCTGTCTACTTTCAGTTCAGTGCACCTTTCCTTAACTGTGAAATGTGTGGAGTGCACCAAGAACTGGTTTTTCACACGTGTAGCAGATGTCGCTACAAAACTTATTGCACACAGACATGTATGGAATTAGACTGGGAGATACATCAAACTGAATGTTATGGATATAAAATAGGCCTGATACCAATGCTGGAAACAACACAGCTGTTTCGATGTTTTCTTCAAGCTGCAAAGTATTTGAATCAGGCCATATTGAAACATGGTAGGTGCGTATATTACGGAATAGTTTGTATTGCGATTTAAATGATATTTTATAATCCTGCCAACAGAATATTGAACGATCCCCTTTTCGCTTGGAACTTTATATTAGAGTACGTAATCGAAGACGATAAAGGGGATTCGATTATTTCCGAACTTTTGGCGACCCAACTAGACTACAAGCAGTTAACCTCGGAAAAGTATCACGAAGTGATATCGACAGCATTCCGTCTGTCGGTTTTTATCTTTAATGACACGAACATTATAGGCACATACTTTAGTCTGCTGCTTATTAAAAAAATCAGTGTCATACATCTAATGGCTGCGATTCTCATGCGGTTAGGTGCACACATTTTATTAAAATCGCAAGTGGCCGAGCTGCACTATCCAAAAACTGAAAACATAAGTTCACAAAACGATGATAATCTCGTAAACGATACAGTATTTCCATCAATAAGCGACCGTACATCTGAAAATGCGTTCAGCTATTACGGAATCGATGGTCCGTCTGATTTCGCAGACTGTTACAATGACGTACGCAAACGTTCGTTGTCAAATGGGAATCTTACTGAAGCAAGAAACCAGTTTCCACCAAAGGATAATCCAATGTCTCAGTTCACGAATAGGCTGCTTAATTTATCTTTATCGCATGATAAAATTGAGTCCGCTGAAAATCTCTTCAATGCGGAAATTCGAAATTCAAAGGAAACAACGGAGATTCTTGATAACTTGAACAGTTCGAAGCGTTGCCGATTGGTCACAAAAATAGCTAAATATTTTCATCAGTTCATTGACGATTATTTTGGACAAGCGGATAATTATTGCAGCCACTACCAACAGAAATCCACTCTTTGTTCGACTTTGAAGGCCTTAAAACAGAGCATTACGACGGGGAACATTAAGGTTATGTAAGTATATTAAATATGTAAATAAATAAATGTAAATATATTATACATTGCTCAGATCTCTGTCAAGGGGCCAGCTTATAGGGGTAACATCTACGAATATAGTGGCTGGCGAGGAGTTAATTTTAGGGCCATACATTTTAAGGCCTCTGGCTAAGAGTCTCGTATTGAATCAGTCCTATTCCCATGCCTTCAACATTTCAAGTGAAGGTGCGTCAGATGCGAAGACAGCGTTCCAATGGGAAATTGTGAGTGATTTATTACCATGTCCCCCTAATCTTAAACTATTTATATTTATTTTGAGCCTTTTAGTCTGAATTATTTCGGACAGCCAGAACCAAAGGCGCACAGTTTTATGCCGAAAACAACGAGCTTTTCCAAAAACATATGTCATTTATTTCTGAAATCGAAACTCAAATGTTTGCTGTGGAGTCTTCTCAGCTGGGTATGTATTCCATTATTTTAACATGTAAACAAAAGTTCAAAAATGTGATATATTTTATTTTCTATATTTCAGATATTAAAGTACAAAAGAGTCTAGCTATTTTGCACGGTACATACAATGCTTTTTCTGCTTTGCATTTTACATCAGGAAGTGGTCTACGTTTACGTGGAGGGCTAAAACTTGCCAATTTTCTAGCATCGAACGGTTTGTACTTTTTATTATGAGTGTATCTGGATTCTGAAAATTCCGTCCCCTTGATCCGCAACAAGAACTGAATCTAGTCATGTCCGTCTGTCTATAAGATTTGTGTCTTTGTGTCAGTGGACTCTTTAGACTAGAAACTGTTTTACTGTCTGCTAGTCATATTATCTTATTCATCATATTTTAGTCCAAGTGTCTTTCCGACGTATATCCTTTTGTTATAATTACTTTTCTCATACTATCAACACAGGGTTTTTAGAGCATGCCAGTGATGTTATAATGCTCATAGTTGATTCTATTGGGGAAGAAGATGTCTATTTGGATGAAGCAGGTATTTATCGAAGTATCTTCGCTATAATCCGAAAGATTATCGAACAGTACATTGAAAATATGTAAGTGTCAAATAAATAAATGATGTAAAAGTCTCTTAAATGTGTCTGTTCACAGCATGGATGCTTGTGTGGATGTGGATCGAGACTATCCAAACATGTTATTGGCCATCTGCTTTTGGATTATAGAAAGACAACAAATAAAGTACGATTCATTACTGGAGGATGAAGAGGCTTTTGCTTTGTACTTGGAATACAGTGCACACTATTACAAATGGAAGACAATAATAAATTCGTATATTTTAATGCCACCTCGCTTAAGAAAATATTTGTTAGACTCTAGTGTTTAAGTTACCCTTCACCAAAGTTATTTTTGACTTAGAAATACGTGTGTTTGAATCAAATATTGTGGCTTTAATTAAAATTCAGTAAATAACTACAGTTTGTGGTTAATAACATTAACCTATCTATTATTAAAAATGAATTGAATTACATTTAATTAAATATTTTAAACTAATGATTTTATGTTTATTAAATACAGCCTAAACGCTAAACAATACTTGGTCAACTAGAAACTAATATTTATCATTTGCTTCATGCTACATAAGATAGATGAAAAATGCATTGTTCTTTTTTTACCAACGTTATTAAGAGGAAAAAATAATCGGAAAACTCATTGGTCATTGGACACGTTTCATTTCGGTTTAATACGTTTACGAATTCGTTCTGCCCCCCACCCACCGTTAAAAACCTTCGAATATGATCATGATTCATATCTCTGTGCGTTCTTTAATCTTAACCATCTTTTGAAGAATTTTCAACTGCACGTACTGAAGTAATGAAGATCGTGCGCGAAATCAAAACAAAGGTATCATCGGTGTTCTATATATAGAGCTGTAGCCCAAGGGGCTGCATTGCGTTTTCTGCAGTTGTAGCAATGAGAGGCTCAAAGTTAATTTTAAAAGTTCTTGCCGTGTTCGGTGTTCTGGCAATTGCCGACAAAAGTACAGCTACCACGAGCTGTCCGTACGCGAATAGTGATAAACTCGAGCTGTATCCAGCTTCAAAATCGAAGAGAAGCTCAGAAAGTTTTCGTTTCGAAGTTCGGCCTGCGGTCAGTGGCTCTAACTTGGACTTGTTGCTGAAGGAGTATTTACCGAAATACAATACAAATTCGGACTCTAGTCCCAGCAGTTGGCTGGACTTGTCGGGTTCTTCGCAGCCCGTAAGGTGTGGCATACCGCCTTTGAATTGCCTTAATGATACGATCAACTTGCACTACCGAAGCATTGATGGATCATGCAACAGCCTACTTTACCCGGAATTCGGAATTGCTGTCTCTAGATACAGGCGCCTACTGCCACCCAAATATGGGAAGCCAGTTCAGGCCTTACCGAATGCGCGGCTTATCTCTCTTTCACTGTATGGAGAGCATACGAGAAACGACAATTTCAGGACCATGGCGGCCATGCAGTGGGGCCAGTACGTTGCTCACGATATCAGTCAGCTGACGACCAAGGGTGCACCGAAAGACTGCTGTGCTGAGCCTCACCACCATCGCTGCCAGCCGATCGCTCTACCGCGCGGTGGACCCATCGCGTACAACACAGGAAAAACTTGCCTCCACTTTGCTAACAGCGTGTCGGACGCTGATGCCATTTGCCCGAAGGACCGTGCGCCATATCCCGAGAAGCTTACACTTTCTACAGCCTATCTGGATCTATCATCTGTGTATGGAAATTCTCTACATCAGAGCCGTAGGGTGCGTTTATTCAAGGGAGGTCGGCTTCGCACCAGCTATATAAATGGTCAGCACTGGTTACCCGTGAGTCAGAACTTTGAAGGTGAATGCGGCTCCAGGAATGAGTGCTACAGCATGCCAGATAGACGGAACCGATTCTCACCCACCATTGCACTTCTGCAGACGCTTTTGGTGCGGGAACATAATCGACTGGTCGAAAACCTGGCGCTTCTTAATCCGCACTATAGCGATGAGCGTCTTTACCAGGAAGCTCGCAAGATCAGTATTGCGCAGTTCCAGAAGATTACATTTAACGATTGGCTGCCCTTATATCTGGGACGTACGTACACTTATCTCAACGGTCTCATCTATCCGGTAGACCCTACTGAGTATGTCAATGACTACGACGAAACCGTCAATGCTGGTGCTTATGCCGAGTTCGCTGCGGCCGCTTTCCGCTACGCGCATACCCAGATTCCCGGCTGGTTTTCGTAAGTTCTGTTCTAGCAGTTTGCATATTGAGTTTACATATCAACAGAGGTTTTTTGGCACTTTCAGACTTGTTGCCCCCAATCGCAGTTCCAACCAGACTCTGCGCTTAAGTGATTATTTCGAGCGATCTGAGACCATTCGATTGTTGGACTCCAGTGATAACTTTGATGCATTGTTAAGAGGTTTGGCTACGCAACTTCATAAACGTTCGGATGGGAATATCGATCCTGAGATCAAGCACTTCTTCAATCGAAAGGACTTCGAGGAGTACGGTTCTGATCTGAAGTCATTGGATATTCAACGTGCCCGAGACTTTGGGTTAGCCTCCTACAACGATGTCCGCGAGTTCTGCGGACTGCGTCGAGCCGTCGATTGGCCGGATTTCACTGCCGAGATACCGAGAGAGGTTTGTAATATAATTCCTCACGTATGGCTTACATAAGGAAATGTTCCATTGCTATGTAGAAAATCGCGTTGTTGAAAAAGCTGTACGCAACACCCGATGATGTGGAGTTGAGTGTCGGTGGCTCCTTGGAGTTCCACGTTCCGGAAGCTCTTTTCGGGCCGACTCTGTTGTGTATTATTGGCAAGCAATTTCTAAACACGCGTCGTGGCGATCGATTCTTTTTTGAACGAGATCACACTGGTGGTTTTTCACGCAGTAAGTGAGAGCTAATGTTTATAAAAAATCATTTTTTTAAATCAGAAATTTTTCACGCAGCGCAACTGGCGGAGATTCGTAAGGCAAGTTTGGCAAGTTTGTTCTGCAACAATGCGAATTATTTGCGCGACATTCAGCCGAATGTATTCGTATTCCCAAACGTATAGTAAGTGATCAGCGGGCCTATAACAAGTTGTGCTTTAATAACCATCATACCTGTTTATTCCTCTTTTTAGTAACATGCTCGTCAATTGCAATGAGATCCCTCAAGTTGATCTTAGCAAATGGCAAGATACCCAATAGCAAGAAACTGAACCAAAGTTCTACTATATTCTACATTCTATAAAAACGATTTAGCTTTTATGTACTTTTGTTATATTTGTTATATTTTGAACAAAGTAGGACTGCCGCACATAAATATAATTACTGGAATAGAAACAATAAACTTTACGACTGCAAACGATCATCTAGTTTTTATTCGTGAAACAAAATATCGAATTGCGTGTGAAGAAAAGCCACTTCTAAATATACATAAGTAAGTATCTAATCGAATTGTTTTTGGGGAAATAAATCAGCTTAATTATTTGTACTAACTTCAAAAGTCGGGCATAAATGCAAGTAGTTTTTTAAGTACATAGTACATACTTATGTATCGATGTGTATACATATGTCTAGCCCGTTTTTATAGACGGAAAATTCCTTTTTAATACGTACTATCAATTTGGCGTTGAGTTGTCGTACACGATTCGAACATCTAGTCTACTTTCCAGATCTTTCGGCATTTCCGTCTCGACGGACACTGACACTTCTGACCCCGATTCTTGAGTTTTCGAGTCAGTTCTATTTGCTGTTGCGAAGGGTACTATGGTCTGCTTGAACATACCATCTGTCGTTAATTCTGCACTATCAGGGACTGATAGGAGCTCCAATGATGTAGTTTTGGGAATATCATCTCCATTTGAAGGGCTGTCTGTTGTGATTGCTGCTTCTGACATTTCTGTCTGAGTGGAAGTGTTCTCCACGTCATCTTTTGTCTCTGTTGTCAACCGCACTATGTCATCTAAGCCATCATCCGAATCGTTGGAAAGTTCAGGAACGGAAGTAGCCCCGGTTACATCTGCTGTCTGCGTTGTTAGACTATCGATTTCGATTGGTGTCGCTTCAGTATTGGTTAAAGGTAGAATCGGCACTTCGCTTTCTTCGTTTTCTGTAGGAATATTGGGAAGCAGAGTTGTTTCTTCTAGTGGAATCTGTGTGGTAGCCATAGTAGTCTCTAAATTCTTTTCGATGTCAGCAGCCATCGTGGTGCTTTTAGTGTGGCTATCGCTATCCGCAACATTATTCATTAGGAATGACTGTTGTTGTGGTTTTAGGCTTATTTCTCCCGTCTTATATGGCTCGATGGGCACCTTTTTACTTGGCAGATTTATAGACAAGACAGTTTGTCTGTCGCTTAAATCTTTAATTGTATTGCCTATGTTGTGCGTCGACTGCTGGCTGGTAGATTGCACTTGTCTGATACTCGTGTTGGGACTATTAATTACAGTTGCCAGACTGGAATTCATGATACTAGAAGACTTAATGGACGTGGTCTCTGATTGGCCATTTGTTTGATTTGTGGCACTTGCGCTTCCTGAGTTTTCTATGATCTCCGGGCTACTGCTTCCAGAGTTCGAAGGCACCTGAATGATCAACACATTTGTTTTAGATTTTTTGGGACTTGACTGGGATGTTGAAAGCTTAACTTGTTTACTTACCGTGCTCTTGTGATTGATTATTTTCCGCTTTGAATTTAAGGCACCAGTGGGGCTTTTAAAAGTCGTCTGTTTGCGGTTGTGTTTTTTGTCTTTCTTGATCCACTGCACTGAAGGTGGTTGGTTCCCGCCACTGAAACTAACACTCGGAGTTTTCATTGCATCTAAAGGTGATATCATTGGTCGCGGTGTCTTATGTCGGTTTGTTTTGCGAATGTTCTTATGAATAACATTGCCATGTTTCTGAGACCAATGTGTACGTGTCGGCAGACTTGGTGATTCAATTTTAGCTGGATGTGCCCGAACCGGAGACGATGGTTCTTGCAGTTTGGCCGATGGTACAAAAACTACTGTTGGGGGATTCTTTCTGAGATGCGTTGAATATTTTCTAGTAAGTCCTTGCGGACCAGTTGGTCCAGTTGGTCCTGCTTTTCCTTTCCTGCCACGTAGCCCACTGTCTCCGCGTTCACCCTTTTCACCAGAAACGCCTTCCACACCAGGTGGGCCGGCAGGACCGGGGGGCCCAGGAGGTCCTGGACTTCCTGGTGGGCATTGGCAATAGCCGCCATAGTAAATGGAGGACGACGTTGGTGGAGGGGGTACTGGTCTATAATAATATAGGTCGTAGCTGGCATGCTGTCGTTTCGCCTTCGGGGTATTACGCGTCCTAGTGGCCCAATTCGAGTTTATAGACCACGATCCCCCACAGTAAGGGGACACCGCTAAAATATATGTAAAATATGTGTAAGAGAACAAAAATATTTCCTTTGTTTATCACAGATTTTTGTTCGACTAACCTGATATTAGCAGAACTGCGAGCAGCCTCATGCTAAAGCCCAATGTTGACGAGTGTAGACCGGTTAGAACGAGAACTCATCTTATATAGCTTATGGGTGTGGACTCATTTAAACAGTTGGCTTGATAGTGGGTTAATTAAGAAGACGTAAAATTTAAATCGCTGTCGGCCAAACGATCTCATATAGATTTCTAAAGCTTATAATTTTGATCAACTAGGGTATTTAGTATATTACTGTTCATTACCCAATCGCAAGATTATGGGTAAATGGTCATCATCTATGTAAACATGAAGTACTTAAAGTAGTCAGTTCGAACTTCTTTTAATTAAACTACTATACTGATATTTTATTTCCAATTTATTGTTTTTCATCATGCATTTATTTATATTCAAAACTAGGTCCATTCGCTTATAGTTTCCACTTGGTCTTTGTTCTCTTATACCTATTGTTTTCTTTTCTCTGTTCGAAAGAAGCTCGACCATAGAGGGAACAATATATCTTATCTGCGTTTAAATTTGAATACTTATATGTATTTTAGTATGTAAAAAAAAACATTCATTGGAATTGACTTTAATTAGAGAAATTCACTAGGTTCCACCCAAAATTCTTTGAGGTAAATAAGTTTTGGATTAATCATATTCAGAGTATTGTATATCTGGCGCTTACTGTCTGGAGGAGCTTCAGATTACTTTTGTACCTTGTAAAAAGTTATAAACATTGTCCAGAAGTTGCAGCTCGAAGAAAGAAGCGATTTTGACTCCAGAAATTACTATATATTTTATATTCTTTACCAGCATTAACAGCTAGGTCAATTTACGCATGTTCGTCTTTCTGCATACTTCTCTGGTTTTGTGGAATTTAACGGTAAAATGCGGCATTCAGATGTTTGCTGAAATGGCTGCACCTCAACCATTTAAAGGATGTCCAATTAATGCACCTATACAAAAATACAACACAAGAAATTAATTTATTTCGACTTTTCCGAGTTTTCAAAGTCAAAACTTTCAACAGAAATATAGAGCAAGAAATTATCAAATTTGAGTTTGGACTTTTAATATTTTCCATAAAAAATAAATTGTAAGGCCCCAAATCTATCATAAAAAGTCGGTTTGGTTCACAGCGGAAATGCGGTGTTGCATAAAATATAATTTAAAATACGAAGCAATAAATTCTTATAGAGGCCGTCTGTTTGTCAGGACGTCTTGCTTGACGCCTAGTTCTCAGAGACTATTAAAGCCATTGAAACCAAATTTTGTATACAGACTCCTGTGATATCACACTGCTACAACAGTTTTAAAATTTTCCCCCACCCCCTTGCGCTCCCACAAAGGACAAATGTTTGGCATACAAAATTACCATATTAGGCAGACTGCCGAATCTGGAAAAGGAACAAATGCAATTTTATTTGACTACGCAACGCCTTGCATGCTCTAACTCTGCGCTTAATCTTCCTCTTTCTAACACGCTCTTCCTCGTTCAGTGTGCATTATCTGGCGAAAGGGAGCGAAATTAAAACGGCTAGTTTTGGAGTGAGAATAAAAACAGATGCAGATGTAAAAAAATGAAAAGAAAAATGGTAACAGATAAAATTAAATATATACAAATCTCCCAAACGGTATGAAACGGTTTATACAAATTTTGTATGCTACAAAATCGATTCGTCAATTTTGCGAACAGCGATACCAAACGGATCGGAATAAAGGGAAGCCACGAAACCCCGCTCAGGAAGTAGTCTTGTTAGACTTTGGGAAGAAGCATCCTCGATTGCAACAACTCCCTTCTTGGGAAACATGTAAGGCCGCAGAATCTTTATGGGATCTCCTGGCATTATAATTGAACAGAAATGGCCCATCAAGAAAAGATGTATGTAAATGGAAGAAGGTGAGCATTTAATTATTTGTATGACAAGTTACGAATCGCGTTGAAAGACTGGAAAAGGTTCATCCAGAAAAGTGGAGAAAAATGTAATGCTTAATATGCCATTGGAGACGAGCCTCATGTCATTTTGGGACTTATATTTATTGGAGACAGCTATGATTGATTCTTGATTAGGGTATTCCTGTAAATATTGCTGGTTACGATCAAACCAGCATTGCGTGATGTGATACAATAGAAAATTAAGGTATAGAACGGCTTAAAATATTTTTAATGCGCTGTTGTTTTGGCATTAAAATTCACTGGTCTTCGTATCAAATTCATCCTTTACTGAATTTTTGCGGATTTACAAGTCTGTCGAATCTTCTACCCATTTTGATACATAACGTAATTTCTCCCTCTAATTATCTCTAAAACCGGGCTCCTGTGGCATTTGGTTCTCTTTGAAATAATCATGCAGGCTATTGTTTTTTTTCGGGCTTATATTTATATATCCATTCGTCACCTGTGTAGATATTGTATACAGTTTTTAAGTCCCCACGATCGTATTTTTAGATCTTTTTCTTACACCAATCGACACGAATCGCTTATTGGCCGATTTCTAAATTGTGTGGGATCCATCGAAAACATAGCTCCTTTTTTTTACAACGAGTTGATCAGGGAAAAAAATTTCAAGCTGTTATAATGCAACTGACCCCTTATATATTCTCTTGTAAAAGTTTGCATTTATTTAAATAATTTGTAAGAAATTAGTCCTGGGACATAACAGCGCTTTTCAGAGTGAAATAAAGCCCGCGGGCGTTATTACATCTCAAAACCACCAACATCTGTTGAGCCCAACCAAAGAGAGTCAGTCGAAAATGCAAAAAAGAAATGCACCCAGTATGCAAAAATATTTATTTTCGGTAACCTTCGTCTTGTCGGGTGGCTCATGAGTTGTAGTGATCATATGCGTACAGGTGAAATGGATTTCGTGGGGTTCCAATAGCT